GAGGGTGAATCTGTGTAGTGGAGGCAAATGGAGAAAAACCAGCATACCTACCAAGGTCAAACAGATCCTGGCCTAACAAGACATAGATTAAACAAGCAGATTATCAAAGAGAAGATAATAAAATTAGCAAAAGAATCAATCGATCACTCAATCAAACAAACAAAGAAACAAAAAAAAACACTTTTGTATTTGAGTTAGTTTGAAAGAGTTTTTCTTCATTGCAAGCAAATGATCTCTGATTGGCCAATACAAACAGCTATGATATGAAACTGTGTATGGATGTGTCTCCACCCAAATAACCACTAAAACTGTTTTCCACTTCATTCTATCCAGATCTCACATCTGGCACTTGTATTTATTATTATGATACCCTTCCAGGCATGAAAGAATGTGCCAGGACCCAAGGTGATCATCTGGGAATACTGTTAGTGCATAAAATGTGCCTGTGTGCATGGTGTGTGTTTTTGTGTTCATTGACACTTTGTCCTCTTTCCTTTAATGTTTCACTTAAGTAAAAATAGCACTGACTGTTTAATTTGATGACATGAGCTGAAGTTGTTTTCCAAAGTAAAGCTGGTGTAGCTCCTCAGACAGGCGGTCCAGAATGGGTCCATTCCTCTATAGTGCTTTGCAGGGAAGCCGCATGTGCTTCAGTTGCTGGAAGGCTGCTTCTTAATTAGTTGTCAAAAGCAATGTCATCAGTGGCCTGCAACTCAGTGTGTGTGGTCCCTAAAAGCTGGCCTCCTGTGCTTTGCTGATATTTGAGAGGCGTTTGGATGAAGCAGTCCTCCCATGTTCTGCCTTGGCCAGCCTGCCAGATGCCTAGGAGATAATTAGTCCCCTTTATATAATCCCCTCCCAAGGTAGCAAGACACAACTCCAACTTTAACACAATTTTCTACCACCCTCATGCCCCAGCTCTATTAGCAGCCTGTCCACAGTGACTGTGGAATGTGCTAACAGGTTCCAACAAATGGATTCAGATGTGGAGAACATGAAAAACAACCTTTCCTTTGTTTGGAGGCTATCAGCATTCCCTTCAAATGCCTGGTATCGTCCTTTTTCCTGGGAGCTATTTGTGCTGGTGGAGTATCATATTTGGTTAAAGAAAAACCATGGGATAACATCAAGGACAAATAACATAAAGGGAATACATATTGAACAATGTTCAGGGGCTGAGGAATTGCAGATGGAAGCAGGGGTTCAGCTGTGTGCCAGCAGTTACTTGATATAAGGGAAAATGTTTGTTTTTCTTAAGCTCTTCAAGACCAAAGAAACAGTTGACCCAGAACCTGTAAGTGAGTAAACCATTCCTTAAGATATTTTCTTTGGAAAGAAGCGGTTGGAGCAGGGGAAAAAGTAGGGTTTATGAGGGGTCCATAGCCAGAGGACACATTGTTCATTAACCCTTTCAAAGTACTCTAGAATTGTGTTTCAGATCACATAGTGATGTCCTGATAAATCATCCCCAAGAGATATAGGCCTATATGGCAGTTTGCTCCATCCCATCTACTCAAAAGGGATTAAAGAATAAAGTGGACTGGAACTCCTTACTAGTCCCCTATTCAGGGGTAGGGGCCAGGGTTTCCTTAAGGAGAGAAGAAATTCACGTAGCTGCCAAGTTGGCCACACGCTTTTGTTGACTGTTGTTAGATAACAGAGTGGGGAGCATGTTTATTAACTTGGCGGAGGACACGCTCATGGGAGGATGGTCAGACCTTAAAAAACAGGATCTAGATTCAAAGTGGCCTTGCTGGATTGCAAAAGTGACCTGAAACCAAAGTTGAGAAAGAACAGGTCCAGGCCAGTTCACTAGGGAGGAAATGTACTATGCAGAAATCCAAGGCCTGGGAGATAGCAAAGAGGGCGAATCAGCATCTTCACACTTGCTCAGATGATACTTTTAGTCACACCCACTAGGACACACATTTGAGCTTCCTGCAGGAATGATGGATTTGTACAAAAAATCCAAAATCCTACCTAAGCTTTCTTGGTGACCAATGACAAACCCACTCAGATTAGTGGGTGTGGGTTGGAGTGAGGTCAGTGGGCAAAGGTGCAAACAAAGATAATTGGTTCAATGGGTCCTAACCTGGGGAGTGGTGGAGTGAATACGGGCTTTGTCTCATCCAGGACTAGGGTTGAATTCTGGCTCTCTACTACTTAGGATCTAGATCTGTGATCTTAATTTTCAGTTGTTTTGATGTAAAAGTAGAGATCATTATACTTATTCTGCAGGGCTGTTGTGCAGATTAAATTAAAAAGTATATATATAGAAAAGTTTGTCATAAAGGAAATGTTAAATACATGTTAGGAGAGGCATCCTTCCTTTCTTCTTTTATGCCTGACTTTCTACCTACTTTTCTTCTTCTTCCGTAAAAGCTAGTGAGAACTTGAGATGATGCATAAATGGGAATCCTTAAGGCTACCTTGGTTAGCTCCTTCCTTGATGAGGTGGGTCCCTGATTGAGGAAGGATGCAGAGTCCTGGAAAAGAGAAGAGACCCCAAAAGAGAATAAAGACTCCAGGACAAAGCACAAGGAGAAGGCTAAAAGACTTGTTCAACTTTTTCAAAACAAGTGGAGCACATTGACACAGAGCATACTAACTCTTTCCAGTCTTTACATGGGGTCTAAACTGCAGTGTGTGCCATTCAGGTGAGCTATTAGAAGGATTTTGAAAATTAAACATGAACTGAGTAATTAAAAAAAAGTTTACAAATTGTTTTGACAGGATATCTTAATAAACAATGCATAATATACTCAGCCTGGGTTAAACTATATTTCCTTCTGAGGATAAGAGATAGACCACTTCATAATGCTCCTTTCAGCTCTGAGACGCTATGACTTTGTGAAAGTTTAAAGGAAATGAAAATATAACATGTCATATTAATTACCTTATTACTTTTCTTTCTTTTTTTAAAAGAAAGCTCAGAAGAGGGTAGTCATCATTCACAAGATACTAAATGTAGTGGAAAGGACTTTGGAGTCACACTGAATTGAGTAGGAATTTCAGCCCTGGCTCTGACTAGCTAAGTGACCTCAGGTAAGTTACCCAAACTTTCTAAGCCTTGGGTTCTCCATTTGTAATTTGGAAATACAACAGCTGCCTTAAAGTTTTGTTATAAGAATTGAATGAGATAATATCCATGGGGCACAATGCCGGTCATCTAGCAACAGTCAATAAGTACTAGCTGCTTCCTTCTATCATTATCGCTGTTACGGATCACAACAATGTGTACATAAAACCATCCAAGACTGTATTCTTCTTTGCAAACATTTGGTGTAATTAGCTTTCCCACTTGATAGATGAGAAAACCTAAAAGCACAGAAGTTAACTAATGGCCAGAGTCTTACAGTAAGTCTATGACTCAATAATTTCTTATATTGTTAAGAAAATAGTGAGAACATTTTCATGTACTAAGATGAAAACGCAATTGAGCTCTGGGAAAACATTCTTTCTTTTCAGTTTTATAATTTGTTGTTTTTCTTGTGTGATAGGAAAGGAACAATTTGTATAATAAAAAAATACAGACTTGGGGATCCAGAATGGGGTCAACAGTGTTTCTTTGTCTCTTCTTCTGGTTTTAACTAGTTTCAGGATTTATTCATTTCAAAGAGGAGGGATGGCTTTGTGGTTCTGTGGAATTCTTGCAGATAAGCAGAAGACTAGAAATCTTGGCTTATATTGCTTCCTTGCTTGTGTCTCTGCATTGAACAGCATGGCATGGTTCAGAATAAACAGAAGTTATTTTGAGTGTTCTCCAAGAGAGATTTCTGATCCCTGGACATCTTGGAGGAAAACCAGTCTAAGCAAAAGCTAAAAAAAAGCAAAACGGATTGAATTCTGAACTTGCTTTCTGCTACCAGTCCTAAGCAGGCTTTCCTCTCTGAGCGTCTGTTTTTTCACCTGTTAATGAGGCGATAGGACTAGGTGACCTCTGAGATCCCTTCCAGCTCTAAATTCTCTGGTTTATGTTCTACCATTAAAAAGTAAAAAGGATGGGCTGGTGAACTTTACCAATAAATCCATAACATAAGCATTTTTAGTCATACTATAGAAGGAAAGAAAAAAATTAAACAAAACCCAAAACAAATAAACAAAAAACAGGTGCAATTTAGAACCAGTTTTCAGTATAAACAATCTGCCACCCTGGCTTTCCTGTTTTTCTTTAGCATAAACCACCCCGCTGGGATGAGATCTGCACATGTCCCTTTGGTCCAGCCCACTCTCTTGCCAACCCCTAGACCCTACCAGGTAGACTTCTCTGTCATGGTTCACACCCCTGGAACGGGATTTATAACCAACACCCACTTGGTCCACTTCACCGCCCTCAGACCCTGGCAGGACTCTCCACCTTGAATCAAATGTCAGGATAGGTTTTAAAAATTATTCCTTCCCTAGTTCCATAAGCAAGCAACACTCACCCGTTCCTCACTCATATACTCTCCCGGCCTCCTTTGTTGCCTTGTCCATTTATGCACATGCCTGTCTCTCCTGATGGACTGTAGAGAGAGTCTATAGACCTGAACTGTTCATGTATAGGTTTTGGAATAAGGCAGTCCTTGCTTTGGGTCCTGACTCTGCCACTTATGCTATGTGCTGAATAGCAAGTTGTTTGACCTCCTTGATTGTTTCTTCATCTATAAAACTGGAAGGTAAATATCTTCCTTGCAAGGTTATTGGGATGATTAAAGGAGATATCACATGCAAAGCACTTAACACAGTGTTAGGCATATTGCAAGTTGCCAAAACACTCAATTGATTATTATTTGTAGAAAATAGGTTCCCAAAAATATTTGTAAAACAAACAAACAAAAATGTATATAAGAACCACTTTTCCAGAACATTCCAATTAAATTAAGATTAAAAGGTGATGAAGAGAGTGCCATGAAGTTTATGGGACAGAGCAACATTTTGTTGACAATATATCTTAGGCTTGTCATAGGGTGGAAGGCAGAGCGTACGACAGGTATACCAGGCTTCAGGAAGGCACTCACCCCTGACCAGCCGTGGGGCAGGAACTGGCCCTCAGCCCAGTATTTCCCATTGATGAAGAAGAGGCCTGCAATCATGATGAACACCCACACTGCTAGGTTCAGCACGTTGAGGACATTGTTGAAGCCCACAGAATTCTTTACCCCCAGAGCGACGATGATGGTCACGATGACCGCAATCACCAGAGCCAGAAGGTCTGGGTATGATTCTTCACCTTTCCCTAGAGGGGAAAGACATAAATTAATATTGTCCCAAGGAAAAAAGAGGGTCATGAACACACTTCCCCCCCCCCCACTCCGTGGTCCATCCACATGCAGCTGTGAGAAGAGAGGTCAGTCATGCAGGGGGGAGAAGCAAGTATGTGCACTTGTGTGCATGGGCACGTGTGTGCTCATGGGCGCGTGTGTGCTCTGTTGTAGTTCACAAGCAGATATAAGTGTCTATTTTCAAGTGGGCAGCTTTTGATACACGATGTGACAATTACAATGATGCCTATGGAACAATGGGACAGAATACCTGAAGTCAGGATTGTCTAGGACATTTAGGATGTATAGCTAATTCTAACCTGTTATTTGAAAACCCTTTTGTCTTCATTATTGTTAATTTTATAGTCAATGAAATTTCCATTTCATTTCAACAGTCTTTTCTTTCTTAGAAAATTTAAGAATTTTGTCTTTGAAAACTAATAAGAGGATCCCTCCCACTTCATTTATGTGTATGTGGTTGTGGAGAGAAAATGACCAGTGAACACACTCCCTTGTTGGGTCTTGTTCATTGGCCAGTGGACTCCTGCCCTCTACAGAGTGGAAAAGGCACTGCCACAGCAGTCAGGGTCCTGAATTTCAGCTGTACTTTGGCCAGTAACCAGCTGTGTGGCCACGGGCAAGTTGCCTCATTTCTCTGGATTTCATCTATAAAAGAAGGGATTGACTACCTGATTTTGGAGGACCCTTTCACACCTAATTCTGTGACATCAGCATCTGAACAGATGTGGTCTTCATACTTTTTATCTCATCATGGTACCTGGTGTTATGGATTGAATTGTGTCCCCCAAAAATGTGTGTCAACTCAGCTAGGCCATGATTCCCAGTATTGTGTAATTGTCCCCCATTTTGTCATCTGATGTGATTTTCCTATGTGTTATAAATTCTACCCCTACAATGTTAATGAGGCGGGATTAGAGACAGTTATGTTAATGAGGCAGGACTCATAACGAGGCGGACTCAATCTGCAAGATACGGTTGTATCTTGAGTCAATCTATTTTGAGACATAAAAGAGAGAAGTGAGCGGAGAGACAGGGGGACCTCATACCACCGAGAAAGCAGAGCTGGAAGCAGAGCGTGTCCTTTGTACCCGGAGTCCCTGATCTGAGAAGCTCCTAGACCAGGGGAAGATTGATGACAAGGACCTTCCCCCGACAGAGAGAGAAAGACTTCCCCTGGAGCTGGCACCCTGAATTTGGATTTCTAGCCTAAACTGTGAGAAAATAAACTTCTGTTTGTTAAAGCCGTCCACTTGTGGTATTTCTGTTATAGCAGCACTAGATAACGAAGACACTGGGTGCTCAGTGCTTCTGTCAGCTCCTCTGAGAGAAGGACACTGAAGTTAAATGACTTGCACAGAGTTAAAGAGCGAGTCTTGGAAGTGGTGGGGCAAGACTCCAAAGCTCCCTCAACTATTGCTTAGCTTCTGACAGATGTGAGAGGATGGAAAGTAGGTAGTAAGTGATGGGTGGAGTCTCAAGCCTCATGGTGTTGGTTACACTAGCTTCTGATTATTTAGCATTCATTCAATTATATTACCCACCTCCCGGCCTCTGCTAAACTGGCATCCATTTTGTTCCTCTTAAAAATGTATTTTTTCATTTGAAAATTAAAACATTTTCATGAATACATATTTAAGAAAATTTGAAAAAAATCTTCTGATGAAACTATCAGAGAAGTTCCTTATAGTTTTTTTCCTGCATTGGTTTTTATTTTTATATAGTTATTAACATGATGCAAGTATAATTTGTATCTTTTTTCACATGACATTACATCAAAAACATTTTCCATGTTATTACACTAGCCTTCTGCATCATCCTGTTAATCGCTCGCTACATAAATGACTCCATAATTAATCCTTTGCCTCACTGTAGAATATTTAGACTATTTTACCTTTTCTGTTATTATAAATAAGGCTGTGATGAACATCTTTTTGTATAAAAATTTCATAGAAAATTAGAATTAATTCCTTAGGACAGATTCACAGAGGAAGAATTTTTTTTTTAAATAAAAAGACATTTTAAGCCTCATGATACAGTTTGTCAAATTGCGTTCTGCAAGGGGGATCCTGTTTATTTGGCTCTGTAAGTTTCCTTGTTAGGGTAAGAAGATATGACAGTTTCACCTAGACCGTTGAGGGTTCCCACGGTGTCCACCATCCAGTGGCTGATGGTGTGGTTTGCCAGAGAGTCGAACATGCTGCTCAGAGCACTGGCGCCAGCAGCAGTGCCAATCAGGTACTCCAGGATCAGGTTCCAGCCAATGAAAAACGCCACAAACTCCCCCACAGTGACGTAGCTGTAGGTGTAGGCTGATCCGGTCGTCTTGGGGACGCGTACTCCAAACTCTGCGTAGCAGACACCTGCATGGGACAAACACACACAGACGGCGGAGCTTCAGGAGATGAACTAACCTCTTGGTCACTAACACCCTTGGGTAGAGAATATTGGGAATCTCTGGGAACTTAGAACAAATACACAAAGTTTTGTATATGTGAAGTGATTCAAAGCCAATTCTAATCTCTTCCAAATCTCATTTATGAAAAATTTGTAGCCTGACTGCCTGGGAAGACCATCAAAACTAATTCTATCGAACAATTAGAAACTGATCTTTTTTATTTAGGAAAATTCCACTGGTTTTGTATGTGTCTGTCTTATTTATTGTTCTTTAGCTGTCAGATCCGAGGGAAAAAGATGAGGCAATTGGCTTCTGTAAAGATTTACAGCCTTGGAAATGCTATGGGGGGAGTTCTACTCTGTTCTATAGGATCGCTGTGAGTCGGAATTGACTCCGTGGCAACGGGTTTGGTTTCGGTTTTTTTAGGTGTCAGATATCCTGAGTAAACACTGGTCTAATTCAGTATGACCTCCATATGTCATGATGCCAGAATAATATTATGCAATAACATTACTTTCCTTCAGTTTTTACATATTACAGAAGGGCTTCCTCACTGGACAGCAATACTTTTGAGTGATCCATGAAGATGCTGTACTATATCTAGGAGGTAAAAATAATGCAAATACAAGCAAATTACGAGTTATTAACAAGTTTAGCACATGCAAAAGATAAGTTAACAAACACTTTTAGAGTGCTCACTACATTCTGGGCAGGATGTTAAGTGCTGGGAATAAGAGATAAATGAGATGTGCCCCCTGCAGTCAAGGGTAGATATGTCAGACAATCAACACATATAAGCTCTATGGTGTAGAAATGAGTAAGAGCTAGGAAAGCAGAGTTGAGAGGACGTGTACATCAGCTGGGTATTGAGGTACATGAAGAGTTAATCAGACAAAGAAGGTGGAACTTGAGGAAAAGGCACTGTGGAGCGTGGCAGTATGAAGTATCTGGGTGGAGGGGAGCAGGCAGGGGGACTGGTAGGAGAGAAGGCCAGAGAAGTAATCAGAAGCCATGTGTTTTTCAAAGTGGGTTCAAGGGCCCACTTTCACCAGAATCTTTCATTGAATTCCCATCTCTGGGGATGGGGACCAGGAATCTGCATTTTAACAAGCTCCCCAGGTAATGCTTGTGCTCACTTATATTTGAAAAACGCTAGTGTATTATTGCCTCATTCTTAGTTTGATGTAATCAGAGATCAATTTTCAGATGGATTAGGAATACACCAACCAACCTTCTGGGAGTTGGGAGAGTTTTTCCTCTACTGTGCTAGGAACTATGGGTGTGGGGCCAGTGGGTGGTGGGCAGTGGGAGGACAGACAGAGGTCAGCTTGGAGGAAACACACCAGGAGTGGGGGAAAGAGGATGTAGGAGGGAACCCAAAGTCAGCTCTACCTTCAGTTCCCATTTTGTTAAGGGTCAACCCCGAGGTGCTCTCATCACAAATCAGGGAATAATAGTTCACTCTTTTGTGAATAAAGAGAGCAGGTTTCTTCTCCTTTTCAAGGGGGTGAAATCAGTGCAAGGAAGCTAAAAATAGAGATGCCAAAAGAAATGACACAGTAATTGATTAAATGTGATGTAATACCTCTTTTCTTTTCCCTTAGTCACTTCCATAGCTAGGACGTCTCTTTTGAGAGAGGCTGGGCTCTTGTCTCAACTCCACCTCGCATTGGCCATACAAACTTGGACAATCTTCTCTACCTCTTTACATTCAGTTTCCATATTTGTAAAATAAAGAAATTAGACTGATAACCCTAACATTACCTGTTATATTGAATTTTGCTGCTGTAAAGTATATTCAGCATAATTTAAACATTTCTTTCACATCAAATATCATATGGTATTATGAAGATGCTCTCAGAGGCTACTGAAGCCATTTGTCCCTACATTAAATGGCCCAGGTTGCAATTTCTTTTCAGTTCCTGTGTCTGTCCCTCTTTGTAAAATAGACTTCCATCTCCTTCCTTGATATCAGACTGTTGGTTGTTAATTCTTGTTGCTGTCCCAGAGCTTACCTTAAGAGTTAGAACATCTCCTTTTCTAAATTGCTGCTTCCAATACCTGATGTTTAAATTGTTAGAAGTGAGTCTAAAATTAAGAGGAGATGGCCTCTGAAGGAAGGCCGGAAGAACTCTTCTGTGAGGAAAGTATGGAGGGTTTAAGCATTGAGAATGAGACCTGATAACATTTTCTTGGATGTTCAGAGGACTTTCCTGTTCTCTTAAGGGTTCTTGAGAGTTGAGTTTCCATATCTAGATTAGGTTGCTCTTTTAGTGGAGTGTGAGAAAGGGATTAGGAGGCAACTAACTTCTTTCACGTGTAGGATCCATGACTTCACCCCGATAATTCCTACATCCTGTGAGCTTCTCTTCCCCATCCTTCTTTACCCCCTGATAAGGTACAAGGCTTATAAATAGAAGTTTTTCAAGCAATGCTTTTGAGACAGGCATCAATTTGATTGCAAATTTAATTTAGAGAGCCAGTATTGAGGAGTTTTTGCAATCAAATTTTCTCTCCATAATATTCAATCCACCAAATTAAGTTTAAAAATATCCAATCTCCACCTCCCCCTCCTCTACCAAATACCCAATTCACCACCAGAACCTACCTGCCAAGGGTAATCAGCAAATAGCCAAGTTTTCATTAGATCTTGTGAAAGGACCAGCCCCTTACTGTCCTGAGTCAGACAAAGAGGCCCTGTGCTGCGCATGGTGTAAAGAGCATTTGGAATCTTAGTCATTCATTTCCCAAGGTCCTGCTTGGGTCCTGATGACTGTGGTTTGGAGAGAAGGGTGGGAAAATCAATCAGCCACTAACCACATAGGACAATTTCTGACCACTGCTCCAAGAAATCATTCTTCAGGACACATTCTTATTGCTGAATCAGAAATCTTATGGTATTTTTGCATTCTCCTGGTTTGCTTGTATGCAGGAGTCCAGGCTTTCAGTGGGCACTAGAGAGTATCCAGCCTGGCACTGAGGCTCAGTGATGGGGACTAAGTGTTTACAACCCAAATATTCTGGAAAAAACTGGAGAATGTAGTTAACAACCCAACTATATTCAAGTATCTGGTGTGCGAGAGAGACACATTCAGGGTATCTTTCTAATTTCAGTACAAAATAAAAACCATAGAATGGGAAACATTGATTTTTATCTTAGAGTATCTAGTAACTGAGTGTACAAGAGCAAGTTACTTGCCCTTGCATGGGTGAAATGAGGAGGTCAAGTAGATAAGCATTCTAGTGTATCATTCTTTGATTTCACAACTCTTAATCAGCTAAATCAACAGAGGAATTGATTACTACAAAAATACTGTAAACAAGTGGTTTTCAACAGAGGCAGTACTGCCTTCTAGAGGGAATTTTGGAAATCTATGCAGGTGTCTCTGGCCCTCATGATGGTTGTGGGCACTTGTGGCATTAAATGGGCAGGAGCCTGAGATGTTAGACACTCTGCAATGTGTGGGAATGTCCCACAGAATGAAGCATCATCCTGTGCCGTCTATGACTCCTGAAAGTCCCAATGGACAATTGACGTAAGTAAAAGTCTGTGAATAATTTATGAATCTGAATCTATCTCCACTTTACATAAAAACACATAGCTTCCGCCCCCACCCTCCTGGCATGGCTTTAAATACATTGAATTTCCTAGGACTTCAACTACTGAGTAAATTGAGGGACAGCTGTACTTTGTCTTGTTTGGAATTTACTAAGAGTTGTAAAATGAAAACCACATTTTCGAAAACCACATCATCAACAGCAACATCACTCATGGTCTTTGAGGCATCAAGCAGCAAGCCTGTGTTAGGGTGCGTTTGTAGTAGTTGTATGTTCTTGGTGGTTCTCCAGTTGACTGTATACATCTGACAATTCCATTATGTCTCCTAGTGTCCTCACCCTCCAGCATTCACATATTGAAATAAATGTTGGTTTTATTAGAAATTACCTTCCTTTTATTTATCTTTCATACCCGGGCATTTTTTTAAATTAGGTGTTTAGGAAGGTTACTTTACCTTTGGTTTTCATTTCAGAACGGGAAAGGAAACATTACTAAGTATTACCAAAAGCTGATCTGGCTCGACCATTGTGGAGAATCACTGCTCTAAATGAGAGATGAATTTATAATTAATCTTTACTTAATTTGATAATGCCTTTAAAAAATTCTTACTCCAGAGTTGTCTTCCTAATCATATTTGCCTTATACTCTATGGCTGCTAACCAAAAAAAGGTTGGCAGTTCAAATCCACCAGGCACACCTTGAAAACCCTATGGGGCAGTTCTACACCGTCCTTTAGGATTCTATCAGTCGGAATCAACTCCATGGCAATGGGTTTGGTTTTTTGGTTTTTATTATCAAAGTGATTTTGCATTCCTCATTACCTACCAAGTGACTGAAGAGGGAGAGGCATATTGATTCCAAAAGCATAACCATGTAGCTGGAGGAAATCAATAGAGACTAAAATGGGGTGGGAGGGGGGCGAGGCAGACAGCCATCAATGGTAACTGCAGACTGTAGAGTATGTGATGGGCATTTCCCCACCAGAGTTGTTCAGAGATGAGGAATCTAGGTCCTTGAGAAATATAAACGGCTCGTTATAGCAGGGCTAGAGGGAGTAGGAAGGAGCCCTGGTGGTACAACCGTTAATCTGAAAGGATGGTGGTTCAAACCCACCCAATGGCACTACAGGAGAGAGATGTGGTGATCTGCTCCCATAAAGATTACAGCCTAGGAAACCCTACGGTACGGTTCTACTCTGTCCCATGGGGTCACTATGAGTCAGAATCGATGGCACCTACTTACCTATTTATTCAGAGGGAGGAGGAATGATTCCTCACAGCATATAACTCTGATACTCTTTTCAATCATCCACCCTTTAAGTGTATTGTAAACATACTCTGATTTTAATTTTGCCCTGTCCCTAGTGTTTTATTTCTGTACTCGAGAATTAGTGTTGGTTAACCAAT